GAGACGTGAACCATAGCCACAAAAATCGGTACACCAACCATTACCAGTTTTTGCTCTGAAGGAAAATGGTGGGTGCTATTAGAGAGGATAATAATCAAGGGTGGTCAGGGTAGGTCTCTCTGAGAAGTTGAAAAGAGTTACTTCAGGTCTAAGGATCATCTTGTGTGGAGAGCTTGGCACGTTTGCAGAACTGCAAGAGGTAGCCCTTGACGTACGGCGTAGTGGGTTAAAGAGGGTAAAAGTGAGGCTGGAGATTAGAAAGGGGCCAGAGGGTGCTGGGCCTTATTGGGTTTGGATTTAATGCTAGCTCTGGTGTAGTGGGAAACCTTTGAACGGTTTTGAGCAAAGCAATGGTGGGATTCAATTTCCATTTTAGAAAGATTCCTTTGGATGCTGTATAGTGAGTACATGTAAGGTCAGAGGGCTTGCCAGTCTTAGAGATGGGACCAAAACCCATGGCTTCCTATTCCCAGTCCATTCTGATTTATCAGGGTCTTGCTTCTAGTGCCTAAGTACCAACCCAAATTAAATAGAAAGTGCAAAACAGCATTGGGCCTGTGTCCAACTGGCTTTCTTATGTTTATTCACATTGACTGTGAACGACTTCTCCAATCTGTTAAACACCTACAGGATAATTAAGAGGTCTCAGCTATATAGTTTCACAGTCACATAAAAACTCCTTCTATTATGTAAAATATGCTTTTTATCAGAGTCATGAGTGCTATAATTAACTTGACCTGCCTTCTGAGCTACAGTGTTTGTGCCATTTTCCAGTTAAGCCAGCCTGTGGGGTCAATGGCGAACCCCATGACATTGGGCTACTCAGCTGGTGCATGCCGGTTTTAGCAGTTCAGCCATTCGTTTTTTCTCACAAGATTAAATGCTCACTTTAGCCTATGTCTTATCAATTGCAATAGCCTTTCTTTCTGTCAGGTGTCCTCTTAATTGCATTTCTTTACATTTTGTCTTTATAAACTAATGCAGCTGACTATTTTGATTGAAAGACACCAACATATTTATATATTTACTCTGCCTCTCAAGAAATACTCGGTGTGCTTTTTATCTGTTGAATGCTAATTCATTCAACATGTATTTAGTGACCTTGTGGAGGCACTGTAGTGTTCTGGAAAGAGCAAGGGCTTTGGAGGCAGACACACCTCGATCAAATCATGACTTGGGCCTTGAGCAAGTGAGTTCTGCACCAGTAAAGTGGGTATAGCAACAAACTCATAAAGTAGTTATGAAAAATGGCACACAGGGGTGCCTGTGTGGCTCAGTCGTTGAGCGTCTGCCTTCAGCTCAGGTCGTGGTCCCGGGGTCCCAGGATTGAGCCCCGCATCGGGCTCCCTGCTCTGCGGGAAGCCTGCTTCTCCCTCTCCCACTCCCCCTGCTTGTGTTCCCTCCCTTGCTGTGTCTCTGTCAAATAAATACAATCTTTTAATAAAAAAAAAAAAAAGAAAAGCGGCACACCATGTATAAAACTAGTTGATATGGTGCTCAGTAAGTTTTCACTGTTCTTTTTTTTTTTAAAGATTCTATTCATTCACTTGCCAGAGAGACACAGTGAGAGAGGGAACACAAGCAGGGGGAGCGGGAGAGGGAGAAGCAGGCTCCCCGCTGAGCAGGGAGCCCGATGCGGGGCTGGATCGCAGGACCCCGAGACCACGACCTTAGCCGAAGGCAGACGCTCAACGACTGAGCCACCCAGGTGCCCCAAGTTTTCACTGTTCTATCAAATCAACTTTATTGAGGCATAATTGATATGCAATAAACTTCACATGTGTAACATATACAGTTGATATATTTTGTCATATATAGTCCCCTGAAACCATCAGACAGGTAGGCTTTTTCTCTCTCCATTTACCTATTTCTGTACCTATTATATTGGCAGTGGTGTTGGGAGAGCAGAGTGTCAATCATTTTAAAAGCTATTTAGAATTATCATTGCTCTTGGGACACCTGGGTGGCTCAGTCGGTTAAGCATCTGCCTTCGGCTCAGGTCATGATCCCCGGGTCCTGGGATCGAGTCCCACATCAGATTCCTTGCTCAATGGGGAGCCTGCTTCTCCCTCCCTGCGCTCCCACTGCTTGTGCACTCTCTCTTTCTCGCTCTCTCTCTGACAAATTAAAAAAATTATCATTGCTCTATGTTGAGTCACCATATTTATTTTTAATTGGATTTGGCATTAGAAGAAAGTAAGAGTTTATAGTTTATTAAAAGTATCACAAATAGTTGAGAAAGAGTACTTCTGAGCAGACCCTCCCAGCCCGTGTGCTGCGGACATCAACCCTGCAGCTCCCACAGAGCCTGCGCCTTGACCTGAAGAGAACTGAGCACCTCTGCCCAGGGCACAGAGGTGACTCAGACCCAGATCTCACCCTCAAGGATCTCAGAATCTAGAGATGGGAGAGTGAAAAGTTGCCCAGAATACAATAACACTAACTAGAAGGTGGGAGAGGTAAGATGCTGGAGGATTTCAGAGGGTGTGGTGGCTTGCCTCTTGGGGATGAGCTCCAGTGAGGAAGAAATCATTTGTTGCCACCTTCACGTGTGTCTGTCTGAGGTAGGTGTGCAGAGCAGTTGAGACCAATACAGACCCTACCCACTGATAGCTTAAAGCCTAACACCGTACATCATGGACCGACAGGTTGGACGTATGCCCAGCCTTTTCCTGGACAGTGTCCAGCATTGCTGAGGAAAGAGTGAGCACGCAGGACCCCAGCCCAAGTTATCCAGTTGCCGGAACATCTCACTGACTCCTAGGAATGGGGGAAGCCGCCTCTGGGTTGCCTGTGCCTGTGTGGAAAATAGGGCTCTTCACCTCCACATCTAGGTCAGAGAGGGGCCCGCTTGGGGTGCACACCACAATGATAGATTGCTTCTGGGCCCTGGGGTCCTCATTACCATCATATCCATCATCTTCTGCTAGTACCGAATAATGCATGAAATTTAATCAGATGCCAAAGGAGTTCTCAGCGGGAGGGTTTAAGGAACCTTGCCTGACACTTATGCTCTAGTGCTGGAATGATTATAAGGAACCAGAATGATCTTTTGTGGTGAGACTAAATGTATCATGCACCATATGAATTCTGATTTATTTTTAAAACATTCTTGCTCTCATTGGCTCCCCTTTTAATAGTCTCACTGTAGCCTGTTTATTGTTACAGATGTTACTTTTAAATGAGGTCATTGAGCTTTACTTCCAAAGGCACTGTTTGCCTTTTTCTTGCGGGCTTGGCAGGGCTGCCTGAAGAACAGTGCTAACAAGAGATCAAGGTTAAGGCTTCGGACCCCCAGAGGAAAAGCTGCCTCCATGTTTACGTGCAAATCACATCAGCCCTAGGTCTCAGGGGAGAGTGTGGTCACCCCGGTCCAGGTGTTGACCTTGATAAGGTTGCCTGGCAGAGTGGAGCGGGGACTTGCGTTGTGGTCACACACCCCCCACTGCCCTTCCTGTCCACTGTGAAACCTCAGGGAGCCCAGAAAAGTCGGAGCCGGGTTCTTTGTCCGTAACTTCGGGAGAATGCTTTGTTACTCTTAGGATTTTTGTGAGGATAAAATATGCTGCCCTTTCTCCGTGTGTGTGTTTGGCAGGGTAATTGCTGGAGGCAGGAGGCACTGGACATGCTTTAAGTCCCCCAAGCGGGGCATTTCACACGGTGGGCTCGGAGTTCGAATGCTCAAGTGGAAGGCCCACTGACCAAATCCAGCTCACCACTGATGTTTGTAAATCAGCTGTCATTGGCACACCCGCACATGCACCGAGGTCGGGGGCTGCTTTTGCACGACAGCAGCAGAGTTGGGTGGGTCGCGACAGAGCCTGCATGGTCGGCAACCCTGGCAGACGTTTGCCGACCTCCGAGCCAGCCTCAAGGATGGCTGCGTGGCGTTCAGAGCTTTAGGTACATTCTTATCAGATGCACCTCATACTTGCCTTTTGCCTTTGCTCAGACTCCTCCTCCCCCTGAATTGCTTTCTGTCCCACTTCCCACTATGTAAGTCTTCTGGTGTATCAGTTATTACAATAAGACTTGTCTTTTGCTCAGCTGTGTGTATCTTGTAGCATGTAAAGCAGGATACGACACATAGTAAGTGTATGGTTCATTACGGATTCGGTGGGGGAAAAGAGTGGAAGGGCATCAGGAGGGAGAGAACTCTGCTTGTGGGAGAGGGTAAGAAAGACTTCATGGAGGTTTGGGGACAGGATTGCCCCCAAGAAGGCGGCTGCCCCTCCCGCTGCAGCTCAGTGGCAGGAATACAAGGTATGTAGGAAGGGAGGCAATACTGTGTGATGGTAAGAACCTAGGAGCCAGGACAGCCAGGCTGGAATCCCAACTTGGCCATTTACTGATGAAACCTTAGACAAGTCACTTAAGCTCTCTAAATGTATTTTCTAAACTCCAAAGTAGGGAATAATAATACCACCGTCGTCCTACAGTTGTTTCATGGGTTAAATGAGCAACCATGAAGGAAAGCCTGTGTCCCGCTCCTGGCACATTGGAATCATTCCATGAGCTCTTACTGAATGATGGTGGTTCTGACCTTTGTACCATCTATGCTAATTTCCTCATTGTGGAGTGAGCAAGGTCAAGGTCACAGGTCTAGTCCCTCTGGAGACCTGGCCTCTTAACGTCACTATTTTCCATTAGAGAGTGTACCCCGGCAAGTGTAAACTGGTCCAACAGGGACCAGCCTCCTGAGGGGAGAGACTAGTGCAGATGAATCATTCATGCTAGAAAAAACATCCCAGGACATACAGCATCACCACACAACGTTAAGAATAATAGCTTCCCTTGACTGAAACATTCATTACATTTTTCTATTCGCAGGTATTTTTTTAAGGGACAGAAAGAAAATGTTTAGTGGAAAATTTACAGCCTTAGATCTAGTGGGACTTCTTCATACTACAAGCAGTTTATGCAAAGCAGATGCCTAAGGAGCCATGCCTGCCTGCACCTGTGGATTTGGTGCTTATATTTCCTTTTCCCCACTCCTCTAGTTCTTGCAGACAACCTGAAATCCAACCCTGGAATTAAGTGGCAGTATTTCAGCTCGGAAGAAGGGATTTTCACCGTTTTCCCAGCACACAAGTTCCGGTGTAAGGGCAGCTATGAGCATCGTAGTAGGTACGTTGACTTGCTTGCTACAGTTGTAATTACTGCTTAAGAGTGATCTGTATGAAACGGAGACTCCTCATTTACACACATGACTGCCTCCAAGCTGTGGTTTCTCAAACTTACTCCAGAATGATTTCACCAGTGAGCGTATGTGGATGTGGAAATGCTAGGAAGGGCAAATGATAAAGCCCAGAGTTTTTCTAGAACTATCTAACAAGGTACTCACTAAAGAAATTAAACTGTTGGAGGCACCCACGTGGTTTTGAGCTTCAGGCATCCTTGGTGAGACAGGAATGATAATACCTTTGCTTAAGCGCAGCCCTAAAAGACTCCTAAGTACATGCAATCTCAGCTACTAGAAGTTTTAAAGTTGCCCAGGACACATTGGATCAAAAAATGATTAGCATCCTGCTCTTCTCACGGAAATGACTGGGAGTTTGTACCGCTTAGCCAGAAGGACAGTAATGGTGAGCTAATTTGTATGACAAGACTCATCAATTTACAGAACCCCTTAGGCAAAGATACTTCCCTTTTGAATCCCTACGGCTTCCCTTTGCAGTGTATCTGCAAAGGGTGTTTGACACCAGAAAATCTGGAGCTAGTGCAGGGTGTTCATTTCACTTGCCATTTTTTAGAGTCCAAAATAACCATCGCTTTAGCCTCTCTTTATCGTTACTTTAATTTGTGTCTAAAATTTTCCCCAAGGAAAATACTACTTCTGTGATTTTCCTAAAAAGACCTTTGTGTCATTGGTATGGTTTCTTCGGTTCCCTCCCTAGACATCCTGGTGAAGACTTAAGTGTCTTAGAAACTGGACCAGAAGTCATGACCGTGGGTCTGGTCTGGCTTATTTCAGGAGAGACCAAAGACACCATGAACCATCTAATTTGCATTTACTTCTAAGAAGATAGGTTGGATGGCATGCTGCTATTAATGAATCACCTGTGAGGGAAAGTCCAAAAGGACAAGCAGGACCTTGTCAGAAATCCGCACTCACCTGCACTTGGAAGGTTTCATGCATACCTACCCTGAATCTGCATTAAACCAACCCTCAACACTGTCTTCCCTCGGCTAAGTAATCCAGGTTCCTCCCCTCCTAGATTGATGTTCCCATCTCTTTACTTGCCCTAACTGCTTTCCTCAGAGGCCTTTGCAAGTTCCCCACATCCTTCTAAGTGTGGAATGGGTTTTCAGAGCACATGAGAAAGGAACCTGTGGATACCAATCACGCTGTGGGGACCCACTGCCAGATTGTACATTGCATGTTACTATTTTTGCATCCCTCTAAAACAGTTTCTTAACAATTTACTGTGGCTATGTGAAACACATACTCTGCTTTCCATTGATGTGGGTTGAGTTGGAAAAGAGATATGCCTTTTTTTTTTTAATTCACCTAGCCTGGAGGACCTAAAAAGTTCAATATTTGACATGGTTGTCAGTGTTGGGATAGTCAGATTTCATTCTTTTCCATTCTGTCTTTCATTTCTGTAGCCATTTCTCCTGAATTCTTTTTATTACATTTCCCTACTGGCTTAATGGTATTGACTGGTGAAAATACAGTAGTAGTTCAGTGTTAATGTAGGACTTTTGGCTTGAGAACAAAAGTGTAAACTTGGCCAGATTTCGAGAGTTTAGGTTTTTTGTGTTTTGTTTTGTTTTATTTTGGGTTTTCTTTTTTGTTTTTGTGGGTGTTTTTGTACTTTGCTTTTATTCCTTAATTCATGCCCAGACTTTTTTGAGTTAACTGGCATCTAACATTTCATAGAAAAAATCTAGTGTTTTAGGGGTGTCAGTAAAGGAGGGAATTCTCTTGAGGCTGATTTGCTTTCTTAAGCTCCCCCTAATTTGTTCCAGCTTTGAAACTGTGAAGGGAGACCGCATTAAACCCCTTCTCACAAACCTTCCTGTTCGGCACATGAGCAGAAGGCCGCTTTTCATGGGAGGCATTTCTCCTTTGGACCTTCCCCACCCTCCCTCCACCCCCTTTTCTGAATGTTGGCAAACAAAAACCTGGCAAGAAGAGTGGCTATCACAGGCTTGGACACATTTGATGGCATGGTTTTAAATGCTCCGATAAGGGGCCTTTTGGTGGCTGACCTGTGTGAATTGCTTCAGTACAGAAAGGAAAGGGCCCTCTTAAGCAGTAGCCTTTGTCTGGGGGGAGAGAAACCAAACCTGCTATTCAGAGCTGCTCAGCATGCTCGCAGATTACAGGCCGCCTCCGTTTTAGCAAAGCCCCACTCTGTACGTCTGCAGACCCAGCGCTGGCAAGTAGACCCTCCCCTCCCTCATGTGCACTCTCTGCGGTCTGAGAGGCCACCAGTCCCATGTTCTGTAGCCTAATATTGGGTAACCTTGAGTGTCAGCACCACGCACAGCCGCGAGCATTGACTTTCAAGTGTGCCGAAAAGGCCAGCCTCTCAAAGGATTTGCTGCCTTTTTTTTTTTTTTAACTATACTCAATGTGGGGCTCGAACCCACAACCCCAAGATCAGGAGTCACATGCTCCACCAACTGAGCCAGCCAGGCACCCCCCAAAAGGATTGGCTTCTTCTAACCTCCTCCCAGTTGCTTTAATTTTTGGAAGACTGAGGTACCAATCCCTGTTCTATAGACACATGCTGTTGTCTCGAGGTCGTGTTTTCACTGCGCCAGTATCCTTTCTCCTTGCCAGTGGCTCTTTCCTTGGAGAAAGACATCCCTGGAAAAAGACATAGCCACCAAATGCCTGCACATCTGTAGTGTTCACAGCTGCATTGGGTTGAGCTCCTTTGACCTAAAGCAGGACTGACCCCAGAGAGCTTCTCCCCCCACCCCTTCTAGACCTATCTACGTCTCCACGGTCCGGCCACAGTCCAAGCACATAGTAGTGATCCTGGACCACGGGGCCTCTGTCACGGACACCCAGCTTCAGATCGCCAAGGACGCTGCCCGGGTCATCCTCAGTGCCATCGACGAGCACGACAAGGTGACCGGTACCCCCAGTGACCCCCGTGGCATTGGCTCTTCCTTGAATGTCTTTTGTGAAGTACCTTGTGTTTTATGGTACACAGTTTTAAATCCATATTTAAAACGACTTTGGGGGAAAGAGAGTGGTTTCATTTTTATTCTAGCGTTTGAGGAAGCAGCTGCCGACTCTGGCTCCAAATCTCTTTTAAAAACCACCCCCACCAAGCTGAGTCTTGTACTTCCTTCATGGCTCCTGTCAAGGCTTCCAATTAGCTGTGACTTTCACACTGGAAGTTATGCTAAGGAGGAGAAGGACAGGGTGTGGAGGCTGGTGGATGGCTGGACTTTGGCTCAAGATTTATGAGAGGTGAGGGGTAAGGGAAGGCTTCTCGAGGTTTACTAATCTCTAGGATACCTCAGAGACAGGTGTGTTTACAGCTAATGATAATCTATTGCCTTGTGGACATTTTCTGCTTCGTCATTTTGACTTTTCCAACTCCTAAGGTTTTACTGACTAATCTAGTTGCTTAAAACACACACCCTGTGCCTTTACCCTCACCCCCACCTCCAGCTGGAAACCCAAGATGGTTAGTACTGCTAAGCTCTTTCTCTGCGTGAAATAGTCGTCCTTAATGTTATAGATGAACACCATACTGCTGACTTCATCTGGGAACAAAACACAGACTCTAGAGCCCCTCCCCCTTACCAATCCTTAACTCATCCTTTTCAAATTTGATAGATTTATGCCTCCAGGCATTTATTTTTAAACTCTCAGAAACTGTTCTGAAGGCCCTCTCAGTCCTTGGGCTCTTCAAGAATATAAAAGAGCCTTCAACATGTTAAGATAACAAGGTTTCTTTTTCTCTCCTCCAGATCTCTGTGCTGACTGTGGCAGACACAGTCAGGACGTGCTCGCTCGACCAGTGCTATAAGACGTTCCTGTCTCCAGCCACAAGTGAGACAAAGAGGAAAATGTCCACCTTCGTTAGCAGCGTCAAGTCTCTGGACAGTCCTACCCAGCATGCGGTGGGATTTCAAAAGGCGTTTCAGCTGATTCGAAGCACAAACAATAACACAAAGTTCCAAGCAAGTAAGTTGCATTCTCTCAGAGGACTTATAAACCAATAGATCAAGGATAGCAATAGGCATACATTGTAAATTGATCACACAACTATGTCTAGAGGGATTTTTTAAATTGACCTGGAATAAAATTTTCATGTGTTGTCATCATGGTCATCTAGTACTAGGATCTTACTAGATTTTCTCATCTTTTCCAATCAAAGGTACTCGGCCCGCGCGATTTCTTCACCCCCAGAGCCTCTTCTTCTTGCCCCTTTATTACAAACATAGCCCCATTTATTTCCCGGGGGAATGTCCGCATCCTTTTTAATGCTAATTATCAGCCTTGCCTTCTCATTGACTTGAGAGTGGATGTCTGCTGGTGCGCATGTGCACAGAAAGCATGTGCACAGAAACGGGCTGCAGGATTCTTGCCTTGATCCTTCCTTCTTGTAACCAGCTGTCATTTAGATGAGCACGGCCCTTCAAACGTACAAAGGCACTCTAATTTAATTTTCATGTATTAAAGAAAATCTGGAATTAGGATGCATGCTAAACTGAAGGAAAAGATATTTGAAATAAGACATGCTTTGAAACTACTGAAAGGAATCTATGTCATTTTCCCTTTTATATTTGAGTATCTATTTGTAGGATTTTTTTTTTATAAATGAATCTATCCTATTGAGGGAAACTTAAAGAATATATTTGCAGGTTCTTCAGTGTGTCAGCATTAAAAGTAAGACAACACTGATGAATGCAAAGCATAGTGACTGGCACATGGTGAGCCCTTGAAAGATCGAGCTCTTGGAATTATTACAACTAATGATGGCAGATGGCGTGTTTGTTGGCGTTTGAACATAACAAGTTACCACAAATTTAAAGCAGCTTAAAACAATGTACATTTGTTACCATGCAGACCATTTCATGGGTCAGGAGTGCAGGCAGAGCTTGCCTGGGTTCTAGGTAAGGATTTAGGGTTGCACGAGGGCTGCCGTCTGGACGTCCCCCACGTCTGCGGTCTGCTCTGAGGTTTGGAGTCTTCTTCCAAGTTCAGTTGCTGGCAGAATTCATTTCCTTGCAACTGTAAAACTCACATGCGCTTGCTTCTTCAAAACCAGCAGGAGAGCATCTCTTTGAGCCCCTGACTTCAGGGAAGGCTTGGACCCTCTTTTGAAGGGCTCATTTGTTCTCATCAGACCCATCCCCCCCCTTTTTTTTTTTAATATTTTATTTATTTTTTTTGACAGTGAGAGAGGGAACACAAGCAGGGGGAGTAGGAGAGGGAGAAGCAGGCTTCCCGCCGAGCAGGGAGCCCGATGTGGGGCTCGATCTCAGGACCCTGGGATCATGACCTGAGCCGAAGGCAGACGCTTAACGACTGAGCCACCCAGGCGCCCCAGACCCATCATCCCCTTTTGAATTAATCAGATTTCTCTCCCTTGTGATTAACTTATTAGAAATCTCAATTATATCTGCAAAATCCCTCCATGTTTGCTGTCCATGTAGCACAATCACAGGAGTGATATCCATCACCTTTGCCATATTCTGTTGGTTAGAAGCAAGTTACAGGCCCCCTCAAGAGGAAAATCTTCTACAAGGGTGTGGGTCATTGGGGTCATCTTCGAATTTTGCCAGCTAGCCTTGGCAAGTATCAGCTACCCACAGACCAATATTACAGGATGGCTGAGTGTCAAGTTGTCCACGATTCAAGAAGGCCAGTGGATAAGGTTTACCTCCTGATTATCAAGATAGATTGGCTAGTTGGTCAGGGCCATTTACCTGTCAGCATTCCTCACCAGGAGTGATTTTTCTACTTGATTCCTCAGTCATCAAACTACCCTTAGAGTTTAAGTCCAATTTTGATTATTATACTATTCAAATAATGAAGAAAATTTTTGGACTGGCTGTGACCTGCCAGTGATTGTGAGTCAAGGGAACCCAAAGTAAGTCAGTGAGGATCGTTTGGGGGAGCGTGGTCAACTAGAGGGTGCATACTCCATGGAGAAGCCCGCTGTCTTGTGCAGCCTGTGCTTGCCATGTAGGAGGGCCTGCCCAGCATTGCCAGATCTTCTATTTTAAGAGAAGCCAGAGGGGCGCCTGGGTGGCTTAGTTGTTAAGCGTCTGCCTTCGGCTCAAGTCATGATCCCAGGGTCTTAAGATCAAGCCCCGCATCGGGCTCCCTGCTCTGCAGGAAACCTGCTTCTCCCTCTTCTACTCCCCCTGCTTGTGTTCCCTCTCTCACTGGGTCTCTCTGTGTCAAATAAATAAATAAAATCTTTAAAAAAAAAAAAAAAAAAAGGGAAGCCAGAAATTTGGATTTTTATGTGCACCCCCTTGGTTTTCAAATGCTGACATTTGTTCCAGCTTTAAAACTGAGACCTCATTAAACCTCTTCTTACAGACTTTCCTGCACTACACATTAACAGAAGGCTGCCTTGATGGGAGGCATTTCTCCTCAGGGTTTTTTTGGTTTTTCTTAATGCTGGCAAACAAAAACGTGGCAAGAAAAGTGACCATCACAGACTTGGACAACTTTTGAGGGCACTGTTTTTTAAATGCTCAAAGGAGTCCTTTTTAAGCCAAGTAAGATGTTCCTAAATTATATCTCTGCTTCTACTGACAGTGCAGAGAAAAACACAGATTGCATAAGGAAACACATCAGAAATTAGCATTGTCCAGCTTATTAAGGAGAGGTTTGAGGTGTTCTCAGGCAATTTAGCACAGTGGTTAAGTATGTGGGTTTTGGACTTTAACCAACGTGGGTTCAAATTCCTACTCTGAAATTTTTCTAAACTTGCAAACTTGTGTAAATTATTTGATCTCTCCAGGCCTGATTTCCTCTTCTGCAAACTGGGGGTGATAATAAGATCCAGGATTCCATCATAAATATAAATAAATACTAGCTGTGGTTGTTATGGTATTCAGTTTCCTATAAGACTTCTAGCTCTGGCTAAACTAGAAAAGATACCTCAAACATCTGGGTTGACCTCAAGCCGAGATGGCTGAGGACCACACTAGCCTTGGCTGCAGTATAGTGAGGGGTCTGTGTACTCGTTTTAGGAGCTTGCACCCTACATCCTTGCTTCTGTTCACTACCTAGATAATTATTTAGCATCTGCCGTGTACCTGGTGCTGTTTTATTTTTTTATTTTTTTTAAGATTTTATTTATTTTTGAGAGAGAGAGAAAGAGCATGAGCGGGGTGCAGGGGCAGAGGGAGAAGCAGACTCCCCACTGGGCAGGGAGCCCGACGTGGAACTCAATCCCAGGACCCCAGGACCATGACCTGAGCTGAAGGCAGACACCCAACAGACTGAGCCACCCAGGCGCCCCCCCGGTGCTGTTTTAAAGCCATGTGGTGGAGTTATTCTAATGAGTAAGACCTACCCTGTAGGATTGTTGTTAAGGATTAGCCTGTGCATGAAAGTGAAGTATCTGCCCCAGGTTAGTAGCCATATGAACAGAAGCTACATGTCATAAATCATGGTGCCTTTGTACAAATTTGCTGTGCACTAATGAGAATATCTAAAAATTTTACCCAGGGCTGCCTCTTTTTCAGTCCCGTGGTAGATCTGTAACTGATACCATCGACATATTTGGGTTGCCTGTTCTGGGGGTGATTAGTTGGTAGGTCATTTTAGAGCAGAAGGAATAAGATGGTTAGGTAGGAGTGAGGATCTGATGGCAGGGGCAGAGCCCCAAATTTCAGTTGCTTTTTCCCCTTCAATATTGACCCCAAGACATGCTAGCAGCTTAGACAGGGACTTGGCAAGTGGAAGCTATTGCATTCTCTTCCTGTTACATGCTATGTCTTCGCTCTGCCCCAAGTCCCTATAATTATTACTCATCCATAACATTACTGATCACAAGGTGTAGTTCTAAGACTGACTAGAGAGGGAACATCCTGATAAGGAAACAAAATAATAATAAATCACACCAAATTTGGCAGATCTGCTATCTAAAAAGGACAGGGCAAGGATAGAGTCAGGCTGGGCAGAGGCCATGAGGATGCTGACAGGGTGCGTGCCTTCTTGTTGGGACGGGAAGAAAAGGTACGTGGCTACAGCAGGAGGTGCTGACTGCCGGCCCTTTGGCTTTCCAGAAATGGGCCTGTGCCTCCGGGACAGCATATTTTATCTAGAGTCACGAAGCTAAGTAAGAAAACTCAAAGGTTCTCTTTCAGGTCAGTCTTACGGCTGTCCAGGCATTTATCACACACGGTACCTTTGCCCTGGGGTGACGGTTTGTCTCATACTTCATATCAGCCTCATGGTATATCTGTATTCCCCCCACTAGGGAGTCAAGTATTGTTGCCTTTTTTTTTCCAGTCTGAACCTTAAATGAGATGTTTGGGGTCCTAACGGAATAATTTACAAGACAGTATTTACATCATTGGAAAAATATTGACATCCAGTTTAAGATGGATATTTCTAAGCTTATGGATGTTTTTGCATCAGCATTCACTTCTTAATTTCTGATGAATAAATAGTGCAGTTAAATTTACAGCTAGTATTAGAGAATTATTCAAGCATCGAATGGATTTAAAACTTATTTGTATATTAAATTATGGTAGTGAATAAGAGATAGCAACTTAGGTTGTATTTATTTATTTGATTCAGTTTTATTAATCTCAGTTCAGTTGTCTACAACATTGATACAACATAAACTAACCATTCAATTTTGTATAACAAAGGATGCTTCAAAGTCTAAAATGGAAACTTACAAACTGAAGAGAACTCAATCATTGTATCCTTATCACTGTTAGGATATTTTTTAAAAGGGTAACTAACTGTGTTCATTACCTATTGCTGGGTAACAAATTTCCCAACACTCAGTGACTTTAAACATTTACTCTCTCAGTATTTGTAGGTCCAGAATCTGGGTATAGCATAGTTGCATACCTCTGGCTAAAGGTGTCTCATAAGGTTGCAGTCAGACTGTTAGCCAGAGTTGATATTCTCTCAGACTTCAATTTGGGAAGGACCAGCTTCCAAGTTCACTCACGTGGTTGCTGGGGGAACTCAATTCTGAGGGCCTCAGTGCCTGGCCTCCAATGAGGGTGGCTCGCAGCATACCTTCTGGCTTCCTTCAGAGTGAGAGAGCATGCACAGTGAAAGCCACTGGCTTCGTGTCACCTAGCCTATTTCAGAACACCCCATTCCTTCTCCCATATTCTGTTCTCGAGAAGGAAGTCACGAAATCCAGCCCACACTCAGAGGGAGACAGCTACACAAGAACGTGGATATCAGGAGGTAGGATCACTGGGGGACCAACGGGGGTTGCCTACCACAGAAACTATAAAGCAACCTCAACTAAATGACAGCAGTAAGGACCTGAAGAAAGAAGCAAGAAGCATATAACATATGAATATTTATTTCTCAATAGAAAGGTAAACTTCTGTGTAGGATATCTTAATAAAAATACATAGTTAACCAAAGAATCTCAGACAGTGTGGAAGTCCAGCTCGATTACTTCCCTCCCTCCATTACAGTAGTCATTCAGCCTCTGCATCCATGTCTCCGGCGGTAGGAAATTCACTACTTGTATTTGTTAGCAAATCCACTTGAAGGAAGTTCTCCACACTGAGCTGAAATGACCTTCTCAATCTCTCTGCTTATGAGCCCTGGTTGGGGAGTCGTTTAATCTTGAGTAGATAGGTGCTGCTTCAGACCAATATTGGGGTGGGTGGGTGTGTTGAGGCTTCTTTCTCTTTTACTACTTGCCATTATCCTTGGAGTCTCTCTTCACTTAAATTAACCAGTTAGTCCTCACAGCAACCCTGTGAAGGTAAGTACTGTCATTATCCCCATTTTGTAGACAACAAAATATAGGTGTAGAGCGGGTAAGAAATCTGCCTAAAATTACCCAGACACAGCTTGAAAGTAGCAGAGCTGGGATTTCAACACAGGCGCCCTGGCTCCCATGTCTGTGTTTTTACTGTTCTTCTGCACTGATGAATTTTATGTATTTATTTTTTTAAAGATTTTATTTATTTGTCCAAGAGAGAGCGAGCACAGGCAGGGGGAGTGGCAAGCAGAGGGAGAAGTAAACTCCCCGCTGAGCAAGGGGCCCAATGCAGAACTTGATCCCAGGACCTTGGGATCATGACCTGAGCCTAAGGCAGACGCTTTACCCACTGAGCCACCCAGGCATTCCTACACTGATGAATTTTAAAAACAAAAATGTTTCTGGAGCTACTTAGTGTAGGGACCAATAACCTTTCATGTTTGAAGAGCCCGTGGTAGAACCATCATTTTAAAGCCTAGTCACCCCCAAAAATGTTGGCTCCTGGTGAAGCCTCTCAGTCAGTGAGGAAAGGATCAATCAGGTCCCGAATCCTCTGTTTCAGAAGGCAAGAGAGCACTCTGTCTGGGATGGCTGAATTACCACACCATGAGTGCCTAAAGGAAATCACCTTCTTTTATCTGGTAAATTTATTAGGAACATCTCTTCAGCTGACACCGGGTAAATGAGGCCTCATTGCCCACACAGGGCAGGATGGAAGGGACGCAGAGGCAGGGAGATGAAAGCCCCAGCATCAAATGGGAAGGAGGCCGAACGCTGGGCCAGGCAGGTCCTCAAGGCGGGAAAGTCCAAAGGAAATGAAAAGGAAACGGAACTGCTGCCTTTAGCCGGAATCCAACGTAACGTTCAATTTGTATGTTTTTGTTTAGATACAGACATGGTCATAATTTACCTGTCAGCTGGCATTACATCAAAGGACTCCTCAGAAGAAGATAAAAAGGCGACTCTCCGTGTCATCAATGAAGAAAATAGCTTTCTAAACAACTCCGTAATGATTCTCACCTATGCCCTCATGAATGGTAGGTAGTGTTTCGAGATTTTTCTTTCAGATGAAAGTTCTCTCTAAGTGCATGCTGCTTTCAGAAAAAATAAAAAAAGAACCCTAACAGCGTGCGCTTTGAAGAAGGGTGTAAGAAGAGAGGCCACCAAGCAGCTTCCTGCCCAAGCCTTTCTCTCCCTAACGTTCGTAATCAGGGCATGTGTTAGGATGTCACTCTCTCTTCATCTCTCTCTCTCCAGCCAACTGCTCATTTCTAAACCTTCTCCAGTGATGTGGTCTTGCAGAGGATTCTGTACCGCTCTGTTTTTTTGGGTGGTTTTTTTTTTTTTTT